CAGGCTGCAGCGCAGAGGGTCTTGAGGGAGAAGGAGGTCAAGACGAAGACGTTCGTCAAGGAGACCCCTCCCTCTCATCATCATTCTCGCGCCCCCCCGCGTCTCACGACGAGGACGGTAATGATGGTGGTAATGGCGATGGTGATGGTGATGTTGATGATGATGGTGGTCCCCATGGCGATGATGATGATGATGATGATGCTGATGTTGGTGATGATCATGATGCTGGTGGTGGTAATGGTGATGCTTGTGATGATGATGGTGATGCTGAGCCTGTTGATGGTGAGGATGCTGATAGTGATGGGGTGGGATGAGATGTGGATGAAGATGTTGATGATGATTTTCATGGTGATGGTGATGCTGATGATGATGCGAGAGGACCTGCGCAAGGCCAGTGGCAAGGGCAACGTTGCGATTGGCGAGGCGATCATGGAGTGGGCCACCGTCGGCAGCACGAAAGTTGACACGATCCCAGTGATCTCGACGGCTCAGGTCCCGAAGTACCTCGACAAGAATGTGCCGTTCTTAGTGAAGGACGCGGTCAACGTGATGGAGCGGGGACACGCTGCTGCCCTGACCACCTCGATGACGCAGTGGCAGCAGAAAGGCCCCTCGATCGGAGCTGGTCGGAAACAATCCCAATGTCCACTTGCTCATGTGGGCCCGTTCATGGAGCTGCGGGCGCCGTTCGTTGGATGGATCGAGGACTGGACACAAGGCCCCCGTTGGGTCGAATGGGGAGGGGGAGGGCATGAGGATGTTCAAGGGGAGGGGGATATGATGAGAGGGGTGGGGAGGAGGAGGAGAATGAGGAGAAGGAGGATGAGGAGGAGGAGGAGGAGGAGGAGGACATACCTGAGGTATGAGGAGGATGAGGACAAAGAGGGAGAGGAGCGGGGACCAAATCGACCACCCCTCTCAGCTTACATTCCGCATCTACGGTCGCACACAGTCCAGGAGGCTTCACATGATCATGAGTAGCATGAGCAGGATGAGCATGAAGAGACGGAGCGGGAGGAATGAGGCGATCACGTTCATGGTAACAACGGCAGGGGTAGGATGCCTTCGGCTCTCTGCCTCAGTTGCGTCGTTGCCGCTCCGCCAGAAGCTTGACAGGGTGTTCTTCAGCTTCCAGAGTGCTGGCAACGTCTTCTGTGGCAACGAGACGGCGTGCCTGCCGAGCATTCGCTTTCAGTGCGCTGGCACCCGCCACGTCATGATGGTCAAAGCTGAGGACTGGGCAAACCTGTTGGCGAAGAACAGCGGCGATGACGCCGCCCCCGTGAGCTTCCCGAGCCTCGTCAACGCGTTCAAGGCTGCGAAGTCGCTCGACATCGACCTTGGCATCGCAGTGCATGGAGGCACCCACAAGCACGACATGCTGCTGTACACCCCTGCGGGCTACCTCATCGGCGAGAAGGCCATTGCGGACAGCTTTGGTGTGAGGATCTCGCTCGGCAACGTCATGATCGGGAGAGCTTGCGAGCTCGCGTTCAAGGCACTGGACAGCATCAGCAGGATTGCGGAGGTGCTCTGGGTAACGTCGGAGAAGGGCGTGGATGGAGGATGAGGAGAAGGAGTAATGGGGAGGATGAGGAGCAGGAGCCAGAGGGGGAGGAGAAAGAGGAGGAGGATGAGGAGGGGGAGGAAAAGGATGAGGAGGAGGAGGGGGAGGAGGAAGGGGAGACGGAGGAGGAGGAGGAGGAGGAGGATGGGGATGCGGATGAGGAGGAGGAGCTGGAGGAGAAGGACGAGGAGGGGGGGAAGGATGAGGACGATGATGATGATACATAGGAACCAGCCGACAGTACGGCAACACCTCCCCCTTCCCTTCCTGTTTCGCTTGGTTGCCTGGTGCTTCTGTTCCATATCCTGCTTCGTCTCATCATCCTCCCTCGTCCTGCATTCGACCCGCAGGCCCCTGACATCCAGTACATGCAGTCCGTGAGGGCGGCCCTGCAGGCCAAGCTGCAGATGGCGTGCGACACCGAGACGCTGCCAGCGTCGGGCGATGAGCTGGAACGCCAAAGGCAGGCGCCCGCTGCTACGGCGGAGCTCGCGAAGAAGGAGGCCGAGGATCAGAGGATCGCCGATGCCGCTGCGGAGCAGGAGCGCCTCAGGAGGGAGGCCGAGGATAAGCTGATCGCCGATGCCGCTGCGGAGCAGGAGCGCCTCATGAAGGATGCCGGTGATAAGCAGATCGCCGACGTGGCTGCGGCGGAGGAGCGCGCGAAGAAGGAGGCTGAGGATAAGCTGATTGCCGATGCCGCTGCGGAGCAGGAGCGCCTCGTGAAGGAGGCTGAGGATAAGCAGATCGCCGATGCCGCGGCGGCGGAGGAGCTCGCGAAGACGGATGCTGAGGATCAGAGGATCGCCGATTCCGCTGCGGAACAGGAGCGCCTCGTGAAGGAGGCCGAGGATAAGCAGATCGCCGATGCCGCGGCGGCGGAGGAGCGCGCGAAGACGGATGCTGGGGATAAGCGGATCGCCGACGCCGCTGCGGAGCAGGAGCGCCTCAGGAAGGAGACTGAGGATACTCAGATCGCCGACGTTGCGGCGGCGGAGAAGCTCGCCGAGAAGGAGGCTGAGGATCAGAGGATCGCCGATGCCGCTGCGGAGCAGGAGCGCCTCAGGAAGGAGGCCGAGGATAAGCAGGTCGCCGAGGTCGCGGGGGCTGAGGAGCGCGCGACGGAGGAGACTGAGGATACGAAGATCGCCGATGCCGCTGCGGAGCAGGAGCGCCTCAAGGAGGCCGAGGGGGGGCAAGGCGTCGCCAGCGCCGCTGCGGTGGATGAGGACTCAGCGCCCCTAGCTGCGATCGCGGCGGATACTGGGCGCCGCAAAAGACAGGAGGCTGCTGCTGCGAAGAGGGCCGCCAAGAAGAAAGCAGAGGAGGATCGCCAGGTAGCTGCGAACGCTGAGAAGTTCAAGCAGTGCATGCAGATCGGCAGCAGCGGAAAGCGCAGCAGCGGCAGTAAGTAGGTAGCGGCAGGCGCCGCGCAGGAGTCCAGGGATGGACGGGATGGGGGGAACGTGGTGACGATGAATATGGAAGTCGAGGGACGAGGGTAATCAGGATGAGAGCGGGATAGCATTAGGCAAGTATTTGGTGTTAGATGTTGGGCGCTAGGGAGGAAGGTGTCAGAACGAGGGGTTGCAGACAGCAAGCTCGCGGGTTTTAAGCTGAATGCAGATCGCGGGCGAAATCTGGTATGTGCGATATGCGTGGGCTGACTGGCTGACTAATCTCCTGTGTCGCCGCAATGGGGCGCGAAGACAACCGCGCTGCGGTCTGGGCCGCTGGCCCACGAAGCATCTCTGTCTCCACAGCGTTTCCGCGATGGTGCGAAGATAAAGCGCGACGTTGAGTGGTCAGATTCACCATCGTACCTCATTCCTACCCTCATCTCCTCCCCCTCCTGTTCTACGTCTGCACCCTCATCTCATGGGTCGTCTCCTTCCCCGTGGTTCTCTCTCGTCTCTCTCACTTCCCTGCTCTCCGCGCCCCCTCTTCTCACCCTTCCTTCCCCCATCCGTCCTCTGTCCTCCTCCCATCGTCCGCTGCATGCTGGACTTCGCCTGCGATGCAAGGGCGCAAGGCCTGTGGCCTGCGCCAGCCAGCGCGCACGCGCGCGCTGGCGCGACTGCGCCTTGCCGCGCTTGAGGGTGGCCTCGCCTTTCTCCGTTTATCATGCCTCGTTTGGTTGTGGTCCACTCCGTGTCCAATATTGCTACATGTCCCTGTCCCCTTTCCCTGTGCCACCATATCCCCACGTCCGCTCTACCCCTTTATTTCGATCTCCGTCCCCTGTTTCTTGTGTCCTCCTCCCAGCGTCCGCTGCATGCTGGACTTCGCCAGCGAATCAAGGGCGCCAGGCCTGTGGCCTGCGCCGGCCAGCGCGCAAGCGCGCGCTGGCGCGACTGCGCCTTGCCGCGCTCGAATGTGGCCTCTCCTTTCTCAGTTTATCATGCCTCGTTTGGTGGTGCCACTCCGTGTCCAATATTGCCACATGTCACTGTCCCCCTTTCCCTGTACCACCATATCCCCGCGTCCGCTCTCCCCCTTTATTTCGTTCTCCGTCCTCTGTTTCTTGTGCCCCCCTCCCAGCGTCCGCTGGATGCTGGACTTCGATAGCGAATCACGGGCGCCAGGCCTGTGGCCTGCGCCAGCCAGCGCGCAAGCGCGCGCAGCCGCGAATACGCCTTGCCGCGCTCGAAGGTGGCCTCGCCTTTCTCTGTTTATCATGGCTCGTTTGGTTGTGGTCCACTCCGTTTCCAATATTTCTACATGTCCCCGTCCCCTTTCCCTGTGCCACCATGCCCCCGCGCCCGCTCTGCCCTTTTTATTTCGTTCTCCGTCATCTGTTTCCTGTGTCACCTCGCGCGTGCGCGAGCACGCGCGCGCGCAAGCGCACATGCACACACGCACACGCACACGCGCACACACACGCGCACACACACACACACGCACGCACACACACACACACACACACGCGGACACGCCCACACGCCCACGCACATACACATGCACGAACACACACAAATGCACACACATGCATGCACGCACGCACGCACACACGCACACACACACACACGCACTCACGCGTTCTCTCGCTCCCTATCGATGGCCCCGTGCTGCCCGAGCGCGGCTCGCACGCGCTCGTGCGGGGGCGTGCAGAGCGCAGACAAAGCGATGCCCATTAGGCGTTGATGGGGGTGGTGGCGTCTGGGGGCTGGACCGTCTTGCAGTCGGAGCTCGCTGGCAGGTCGGCCTTGCCAAATCAAGGGAACCCGCATCGTATCATATCGCTTTTCGGTCCCGCGTTGCCCTCGGAAGTGTCTTGTGCATTGTGCCCTCTTGGATGCCATGCCGAATCAACTCTGATTGTACTGGGCCGTTGTATTTGGCTTCGTCGGCGCCGTCCGTCCACATCGTCGTCGGCGTCGTCGTCGCTCCTCCTTTCCCTCCTTCTCCTCGCCAGCGGAAGCGAGCCGCCGAGATGCCGCGCCCCTCGGACCCCCGCGTGGCCCCTCGCACCCCTCCAGGGCCGCCCCCCCCCCTGGAAGTGGGATGGCGGGGTCGCCGCCGCCAGAGGAGGAGGAGGAGGAGGAGGAGGTAAAGGAGGAGGGCGACGAGGGCGCGAGGGCTCCCGTGGCGGCGCAGGAGTCGAGGGCGAGGGACAGGCGGCGGCGAAATCGGAAGAGTCGGCCGCAGGAGGGTGTGCCACTGTCTGTGCAGGAGCTCCTCGACAGGTGCAAGCGCAACGTTGCTATCGCACTGAGGGCTGAGAAGATGAGGAAGGAGAACAAGGAGAAGAAGAATAAGAAGAGGCAGGATGAGATGACGAAGTTTGTTGAGATGGAGAAGAGGAAGAGAAAGGAGAGGAAGGCGGAGAGGGAGAAGGCGGAGTTTGAGGAGATGGAGGAGAGGAGAAGACAGGAAAAGCAGGCGAAGAAGAAGAGGCGGGATGAGAGGACGAAGTTTGAGGAGATGGAGAAGAGGACGAGAAAGGAGAGGAAGGCGGAGAGGGAGAAGGCGGAGTTTGAGGGGATGGAGGAGAGGAGAAGACAGGAGAGGAAGGCGAAGAAACAGAAGAAGGAAAGGAATGACTTGAAGAAGAGACGCAATGAGGACGAGGATGAGGAGGAGGAGGAGGAAGATAATATGCAGCAGGACCCCTTTCCTCGCTCGTGCTTCCCCACTCCTCACTTCCTCTAGCGCTCCACTCCCGCTCCCTCTCCACCTATTCCCCATACTTCCCAAATCCCCCACCCCGCCTCCCCTCGCCTCGCTCCCCCACCCTGCCTACGAGGAGTGGGGCGCCTGGTGCAAGAAGTGGGGCGATGAGCGAGAGGCTGCACGTCTCAGGAGGTTTAGCAGGTGGGAGGAAGCAGACGAGCTGGTCCAGCGCGGGATCATGTCGAAGCGTCAGGCCCCTCGCCCTCCCCCTCACCACATTGTAATATATATATGAAAAGAAGCTCCAGGCTGATCAGTGGATCAGCGACGACAGCGAGAGCGACCTGCTTCAGCGGCAGCGTCGCTGGCGGAAGGAGAAGAAAAAGTTCGCGGAGGACGACGTCCGCAGGCGGCGCCTCCGCCAACGTCGCCTTCTCCTCTCCCCCATAGTCGGCCTCTTCCGCCGATTCCTCCATCCTCCTCCTCCTTGTCCTGTTTCCCTCCACCTTCTCTTGTGCTCCCCCACGCCCCTTCATTATCCTGCTTCTCCTTCTCCTCCTCCTTCCCTTCCTCCTACCCCTCCTCATCATCCTAACTCCTCCTCTCCCTTCCCCATCCTCCGCATCCTCCTCCTCGCTCCTCCTCCTCCTTCTCTTCCTCCTTCTCCTCCTCCTCCTTCCCTCTGCCAGGGGCTGGGCATCGCCGATCGCGATGTGGCGCGACGAGACTGGCAGGTCCGCGCCTCCCCAGGAGGCGGAAGGGAAGAGGAGGACGCGGATGAAGGAGGGGGGGGGAGGGGGAGAGGATACGGGGGGATAAAGGAGGAAGAGGAGGAGGAGGAGGAGGGAGGAGGAGAAGGAGGATAAAGGAGGAGGAGGAGGAGGAGGAGCCTCGTCCTCCTGCTCCGCACTTCCTCCCTCTCCTCCTCCCCATCTTCCTCGTCCTCTTCCTCACTTCCTCCCTCTCCGTCTTCCTCGTCCCGCTCCTCCTCCTTCGGCTTCCTCCTCTTCCTCCTCCTCCTCATCTCCCTTCGCCTCCTCCCACTTCCCGCCCCCCTCCTGAGGCCACCGCGAACACCGCGAGGGGAGCGGTGAGCGGGCCGCGGGAGAGGTGAGCGGTGAGGCGGGCGCGGCGAAAGAGCGCCCGCCGCCCACCGCCCACCGCCCACCCCCCGCCGCCCCCCTCCGCCGCCGCCGCCGACGACGATTACAGTCAACGCGCCTAGTAAGGACGCGCGCCTTCATCCAGGGTATCCTTGCGCCCTTGCCTCTGTGTCCCGTCCTGTGCCGTTGTCGCTGCTCGCCCGCCGCCCAAAAAATCTCAACTTCGGCCTCGAAGGGTCTTGCGTCCTTACCTCGCGCCCTTACTATACGTTCTGGGTTCTGGTTGTAGGTCTACGAGGACAGAGAACAGATTTCAACAATCAGCCACTATTTCTTAGCTTTCAAAATCGTTTCCTGACCTTCAGAAGCTCTCATTATCGTTTCTCACCCATCATCATCATATCATAGCTTTCCGCCAAAAAAGTTACCGATTCGCAGCGATCTGCTGAAATTAGTGAAGGCGGCGGGTTTTAACACCCGGGTGCCCGGGCGCCCGGGCGCCCAGGCGCTCGGGTTCTGGGCGCCCGGGCGCCCGGGCGCTGGCGGGCGTCCGGGCGCCCGGGCGTCCGGGCGTGTCCGGGCGTCTGGTGGGCGGCTTGCGTCTGGGGGGCTTTCGGAGTCCGGGCGCCCGGGCCTCCGGGCGATCGAGTCCGGGCCCCCGGGCGTCCGGGCGTGTCCGGGCGTCTGGGCGCCCGGGCGCCCAGGCGCTCGGGTTCCTGGGCGCTCGGGCGCCCGGGCGCCCGGGCGCCCGGGCGTCCGGGCGCCCGGGCGTCCGGGCGTCCGGGCGCCCAGCCGGGCCCTGGTAAAATTGCGCCATCCCTCCGTCCTGCCGGCCCTGGGCATCTCCCTCACTCCCCCGCGCATTGCGACTTAATTTTAAGTCGGGCGTGTCCCCTTGCATGGGGGATTTTCGATGAGCACTGAAAAAATACCCAAAACTACCCCAAGAAGGTCAGAACATAGTCAAAACAATAGTCCCCAGACTATTTTTGGAATATTTTTTTATTATTTTGGGGCAGGTTTTATTTTTCGTCCAAGATCCCCCTGTAGGGGGACAGGCCCGAAGCAGTGGCGAAGCGTCCCGGCTCGCCTAAAGCCCCGCCAAACAATGTTCTAAGAACCTGTTGTGGGCTCCACGAAGTGTGCTTAGAACATTTCTGGCGGAGCCTGTCTTGGTTTAACACATCGGGTTTATGTTCTAAGAACATTGTTTTGATTATTAAACCATTGTTGGATTCTAGAAACATTTCGTGGTAGGACTATAGGAATGCCAGGACGGTCGGTCCCTGCTCAACTCACTCCCCCGCGCATTGCGGCTTAATTCGCTCTACGAGCATCCCGCTTACGCCCCGTCGCCAGCGCAGCGATTCTGCCTCGCCGCCAACGCAAAAAGTGTGTGTGTGTGTGTGTGTGTGTGTGTGTGTGTGTGTGTGTGTGTGTGTGTGTGTGTGTGTGTGTGTGTGTGTGTGTGTGTGTGTGTGTGTGTGTGTGTGTGTGTGTGTGCGTGCCTTGGCGCCGCAGTTTTCTCTTTGTGGCACGGCGGCAGTGCTGGTGGGGGAAAACGGGCGCGACAGCAACGACGGAGCTCAAGCCCGAGATGCGGCATGTTAGAACACTGGAGGATCGGGAGCGGAAAAGAGGGGGGTGATGACTAGGGGGGGGATATCATGGTATTACGTCCCCGGTGCCGACCGACGGCCGGTGCCGCCGACCCTGCAGACGACGAAGATGAAAACGAGGGTGAGGCGGAGCAGGAGGAGGAGGAGGTAGAGGAGGAAGAGGAGGAGGAGGAGGAGGAGGCGGGTTTGGATCTGTATGTGGATGACTGGGGCCGGGGCGGCACCCCAGACCGTCGGGGCTCTAAGCGGCACATGGCTGGCTCGACGTCGTTCCATGCTGCGCCCCGCGAGCCCCGTCGGCCACTGCGCCGCCTCGAGGTCAAGGGGCTCATCCAAGACATGATCAAGAAGCTGGAGAACGAGGCCAACGCGGCCGCGACCGAAAAGGCGGGCGAGTGCAGGGGAGAGGGGGGGCAAATGGATCTCCGAGAGGGCCGCGTGCGACTCCGACTCCGGCCTCGAGCGGTGAAGGCCATCATCCGGGATGTGCTGGCGCGCGACTTCACGCGTCTGTCTGGCTGCCGCTACGGCCATCCCCCGACCCCATTCGTTCAGCTCGGGCCGAACGAAGGGGGGGGATAGGGGAAAGGGGGATTACAAAATCTGCTGCATGCCGCCGGTTTCGGCCCCGCCGCCGGGCCCATTCCTCGATACATGGGCGCCTCCCGGCGCCAGGAGGCAACGGGAAAATCAGCTACGTGAGCTGATTCACTACGCTACCCCTTGCTATCCCCCCTTTTTGTTCCCCCCAAGTTCAGCGATGGTCGGGTGTTGCCAGAGGCTTCGCTGGCCCAGGGCGCCCCCCCCCGAGTGCCACAGGGGGATCCCCGCGCAGCACCCCTCACGAGGCCCTCTTGTCCTCTATGGGGCCACAGACGGAAGAGCTGGCGACACGCTGGGCGCCGTGCGCATCCTGAGCCCCCGGCTGGGGAGGGAAAGTCGGAAGCCATGCAAGGGCTGCTAAATCCGTGGCTGCTAAAATCGACCTCCGGGAAGTTGTCTTCGTCCTTCCGGGAAAAAGCCCGTTGATTGTTTCGCGTGCCGCGCCTCATTCCGGGAAGTTGTTTCTTCTTTCCGGGAGGGCCGTTGTAGCAGCCACGGTTTTAGCAGCCCTCGCCCAGCTTTTGAGAAAGGAAGGGGATCCAGATTTGTGGGACGGGTTTGGAGGGATGATGTCGATGTCCCCGGCAGGCCAGCGGCCGTTGTTTCTCTCTATCACCTCCCCTCCTGCCCTTCTTCACCTCGTCTCTACCCCGCCAGCCTCGCTGCTCACCTTTTCCCTAATTCGGGAGCGGCAAAGAGGGGGATAATGACTAGGGGGGGATATCATGGCGCGGGCCATGATATTTCTTCAGATCTCATGGCGCCTCTCCTTATGGCATTACGTCCCTTGCCCCCCCGCTGGGCCGCGCACATGCCACCGGTCATGATTGCCCCCCCCCCCCCTCCCTGACCTTCCAGGAGGGTAAAAAACACCACGCCATTTACAAACACCTATCCCAGAGCTATTCTATGTCTTGGTTTCAGGCTGTTTCGATTCGTTGTTTAGGTTTTTAGGCCTCCCGTGCTAAAACATAGCTCTCTGGAAGGTCAGGGCTCTTGGACACCCCCCTCTCGGCCGCTCCCGGCTAGTGCGCCCCCACCTCCCCACAGGGCTTAGCCCTGGGACGGTGGCAGGACAGGCTTGCAGTGCAGGTGCCAGGCACCGCCCGATGTACCTCGAGTCGGGCAAGGGGACCCAGTATGGGAGGTTGGAAGAGAGGTGGTCTGGGATCGGGCCAGACGAAAGGGGGGGATAGGGAAAGGGGGGGGTACGAAATCTGCTGCATGCAGCTGGTTTCGGCCAAGTCGAGGGGCCCATCCCTCGATACATGGCCGCCTCCGGCGCCGGGAGGCGCCGGGAAAGTCAGCTACGTGAGCTGATTCTCAAACCGAGGAAGAGGAGGAGGAGGAGGAGGATGAGGAGGAGGACCAGGAGGAGGACCAGGAGGAGGAGGAGGAGGAGGAGGAGGAGGAGGAGGAGGAGGAGGGAGGTTGGAAGAGAGGTGGTCTGGGATTGGAGGGCGAGGGTCGAAGGGAACATGTGGAGGCATATGCGTGGAGAGGCGTTGGGCCTCGGGGCCCGGGCCCGTGCAGGGGTCCAGGGCCGAGGATGCCCCGCGGTCGGGAGGAGAGGGGGGAGGCCTACTGCGACGAGCAGATGGCGAAGACGGAGGCGAAGAAGTCCGAGCTCGAGGACGCTGGATGTTCCAAGCCGCGCTCGTTGCTTCGGCCATGGTGGCGACATGTTCATGCGTATGGGCCAAGGCCACGACAGATCCTCGCCCGGATCTGTCCTCGCCCGATCTATCAGGGCGGAGCGGGCAGAGGAGGTGAGGGAGGAATAGAGGACATGGGAAGCGGGAGGGACGGCTCCACAATAACAGAAAGAAAGCAGAAGAGGACAAAGGAGGAGAGTTGGCAGGAACGTCACCACCCACCAAACCACCCCAACCCAACCCGAAGACCCCACGTTGCCCTCCACTCCCAGGGGGGGGGGCGTCGGGCAGCATTGAAACGCGCTTGCGGAACCCGAACCTCCTCAAACCCGAAATTTGGGTCCTCGGGTTCGGTTGGGGTGGTGTGGTCGGTAATCGCACCAGAAGCGGGAAGGACGGACCAAGAGCAACAAAGGGCCTTGGCCTCGTTCAGACGAGTGTATTCTTATCCTTGGCGAGGACCGTCGAGGCGCATCCCAGATCATCTGGCCGCAATAAGCACGCACGAGACCAGCATATGCACGGGAAGTGGACGTCCGAGCGATGGCAAGCGTGAAGAGGAGGAGAGATGGCATTAAGTCGGGTACGTCCCGTCTTTTACAGAAAGGAGATCCAAAAATATTGCAACATAGTCTGGGGACGATTTTGTGTTTTTCTATGTTTGAACTTTTGGAGTGTATTGTTTGAATATGTTCATTGTTTCGGCCGCAATCCACCTGTATGGGGGACCGGCCCGACCTAGAGCTGGCAGGACTCGGGAGGGTCAGTGAGGCGTGCCGCCCCATCCGCAGCCAGTGCTGCGGTTGCGCCCTCCCCCCGCTGGGAAGGACGACGTCGCCAAGCTGACCGCGAAGATCGACACCAAGAGGATCTCTTTGTTTCTGTCTGCTGCTTGCCACGTGCACGTCTCGATGTCGTGTTTGTTGTTTGTTTTTGTTCTCAAGATGGCCCAAGATCCTCCCCGATGGGCCTGGCCGAGAGAAAAGAAAACATGTCCGAGCGATGACAAGTCTTGGCGTCGCTCGGACGTCTGCATTTTCATTGGTAATTGGCATCGACGGACATTTTGGGTCATCCCGCGAAAAATCACCCCCGCACGGATTCGAAAAATGTACGGAGAAAGGATGTCCGAGCGATGGCTAGTGTTGGGCTCCTAGTCTCGAAGAACATCATCTGCATAAACATAGTTTCTCGCATGTCCGCGCAGATTTCGCGGATCGGCGCTGGCCCTCCCTCCTGGCGGCGACTCTGGTGTCGTCCTTTGCGCGCTCCGCTCGCCAGGAAGGGGTGTCCAGTACCGATCAAGGAAATTCTTTGCGGACCTCGGACGAGTGATGATCGTGCTGATTTGTTTTATCGATGTTGGAGTTTGACGAGGACTTTAACGGCAGTTCTGATGCCCTCTCCTTCCCCTCGTTATTATCCCTCTTGCCAGGTCAGTTGTCTTGTCCCTCCTCCCTCATCCACCCCCTTCTCATCGCTCCATCTCTTTTCTCGGTTTGCGTCTTTTCCTCGTTCTACGTATCCCCCGCCCATTCCCTCCCTCTCAGGAGGGGGAGCAACTCAGACACAAGTAATCACCGTCTCCCAGGAATATGTAGGGAAACATTGGAAGTGGGGGGGAGACGGACACGCAGAAGATATGTGAAAATATGGGGAATCACTGCATTTGTGTCTATTGATTTGTGTGTCCTGGGCCCCCTCCCTCCCTCCCCCCCTTCTCGGTCGGTCCCTTGCGCTCGTGTGTTCCCTGGCCCTCGCCTCGCTCGTCTTCGGGCCCTTGTTCGGTCCTCTCGCGTCGCTGTGCTGTCTTCCACTCGAAGTCGACTCGACGCTGACCAGCGTCCGAACGACCCCTCCCCTCCTCTCATCTCTCCTCTCGTGTTGGAGGCACGCCGGGCGTCCCGCGTGTTCTCGAGGCGGCCCTGTCTGCCGGCCAGGGGTCTGCCCCCTTCTTGCGCTGGGCTACGCGCAGGAGTGCCTTTGGCCAGAGTGACCTGTGGTGCGGGCACTCTCGGACGGGGCTGGGACGAGGATAGATCCGTTCCGGAGCATTTCCCGAACGCTCTGCAGAGCGTTCTGGAACGCTCTGAGACGGCCGCGGCGCCCGAGACATCATCCAGAGCTGTCGAATCTCAGAGATTCCCTTTTTATCGTCGTAACGCTGCTTCGTCGTAGCGCTGGGGCTCCGAGATGGCCGAGAGGGCTGCGCTGGCAGCGGCCTGCGCCCTGAGGCTTGGCCCTCCCGCCCGGGCCCCCCGAAGGCCGCGCGCTGCAGAGATCCGCGGCGGGGACTTGTCAATAATCACCGCCTGCGGGTTCGACCTTCGCGGGCCTCCGCAGGCGGTGGATCTGGATAGATTCGCCCTCCCCCCGAGGGCCAAAACATATCCACATCCACCGCCCGCTTGGGCACCAGGTTGCTGGCTCCCAGGCGGTGGACCTGGATAAGTCGCTGTCTCGCAAAAGGTCGCTCTTGCCAAGGGGTTCAGTCAGGCGTGTCCCTCTACAGGAGGACAATTTACAAATAGTAGAAAAAAAAGCTTGGGACGATTTTTTCGACTATTCTTCATTTCTCGTCCAAAATCCGCCTGTTGGGGGACATGCCCGACCTAAGCCAAGGGCTCACGCCGGCGTGTAGCCTGTGGGCGCCCTCGGCTCGGGGGCCGCGGTGTGGCGAAGCCGTGCCCGCTCCCCGTCGGGGAAGCGTGAGACTAGGGTCCGCGGCAGCTCGGGCTTGCCGACGCTCTTTGACGAGCGCATCCTGGAGAAAAAATCGTGCGTGTCCCTTCACAGGAGCATAGGAAGAATATAAAAAACAATGCAAAATAGTCAAACGGATCAATTGTTGTCAAATACTAGTTTTCCTTTCTCCTTTAGAGTTCGATTGTAGGAGGAAAGGTCAGACCTGATCCTGGAGTGTTACGGGCTCAGTTGTCGTGGGGTGTTGGCAGCGGGAGCTCGCGTCAAAAGTCAGACTGGTCATGCCCCCCGCATCGCAGAGCGGTTGTCGTTCGGAAAACGATAGGGTGGGCCCGGGGTGTCCCGGAGAATTCCATTCTGGATTTCGAGTTGATCTTGGGGATGTGTCTTTGGTCAGTGATGAAAACTCAACAAATCCACGTGCATTCGATCCGCGCATAAATCCACGCAGAAGTCCGCTGCAGCACGTCCGCAAGGCTGGTGCAATGAGACTGGGCCTTGTCCTTTTCGTGATGGCCCGTCAGAGAGGAGGAGGAAGGAAATGGAGGGAGGAGAAGGGAGGAGGAGGAGGAGGAAGGAGGAGGAGGAGGAGGAGGAGGAGGAGGAGGAGGAGGAGGGAGGAGGAGGAGGAGGAGGAGGAGGAGGAGGAGGGGGAGGAGGAGGAGGAAAAGGAGGAGGAGGAGGCAGCCCGAGCCCCCCGAAGCCGAGCTGCGCACCTCCCCGATGCCGGCGGCCCGCCCGCCCGTGGGCCCGCCAGCGCGAAGTCGGCGGAGCTGAAGGGCGACGTGAAGGAGCTGCAGGAGGAGCTTGCCGCCCTGGCCAGGGAGAAGGCTCACGCCGGCCTCCGTGGTAGCCTTTCGGGCCGGACGAACGGGGGGGATTGGGAAAGGGGGGGTACGAGATTTGTTGCGTGCAGCTGGTTTCGGCCCCACCGAGGGGCCCATTCCTCGACACATAGTCGCCTCCGGCGCTGGGAGGCGCTGGGAGAATCAGCTACGTGAGCTGATTCTCCCCCCCCCCCCCTTTGCTATCCCCCCCTGTCGCCCGGCCCGAGCCTTGAAGCCGGGGGTCAATGCAGGCGGGGGTCAACCAGAGCGCCAGATCTCGCAGGATCCCGCAGGGCCAGGGGCGCAGTGACCCGGGCTTGGGTGCAGGATCTTGCAGGAGCCTTCGCATCGACCCGGGTATGGGTGCATGGGTCTTGCAGGATCTTGCAGAATTCTGCAACGCCTGTCTGCCCCGGGTCTGGATGGAGCTGGGTCAGAAGAGCCCCGAACGTGCTTGTCCCCACGAGCTGAGCCGAGAACCTGTGCAGACCTCAGGACCCCAAAGGCAGGCGTGCACGGGGCCAGCGGAGGCCAAGCCGGAGCGAGCGCTGCTTCGTCGAGCGGGACCTCTGTGCGCAGCCGCTCCGAGGGGGAACAACATGTCCGTCTGTGCGCGGCCTCGCGGGCCGCGCCCCCTGGCCCGCGACCGCGCGGTTACAAGGCGTGCGTTTTTTGTCCGCGGATGGCCCGCGTGGAACGTATCCGTGCGATGGTGTGAGAATGGAAAAGTCGGGGGTGGACAGAACCCCCAACAGGGACACGTCGATTAGTGAATTGTCCGTTTTCGGTTCTCGAGAGGGCTTCGTGGTCGTTAATTTCCAGGCTTGCGCCCGTTAGGTTTGGGCCCCAGGTCGTTTTCACTAAACCACGTTTTACTAAAGGGAGGTCTGTCCATCCCCGAAAAAGACTCGGGGTTGCCTGACCAAGAGCACCTCTAGATGTAGGAGCTCGCCCGGCGATGAACATCAGCCGGTCTACATAAGATCCCAGAGGCACCACAATCGGCCACGTTGTCAGCACGCTCGTTTTGGAATTGCTCAGGATGCCCGTGCGATGGTCCTGCCTTCTCGGCAACCCTGCTTTCTCGGCGTTGTGTTGCTCCTGGCCGAAGGCTGCCCTCCCTGGGCACGCCGACACCTGGAGACTTGTGGTTCATGGGTTTCGTGCGGGGTTGGGACAAGAAACGCGTGCACGTGCGATGGCGTAATCGCGGGATCCTTCCCCGGAATCTAGACCGCGAGAGCGCGGCTATGGCCATGCTCGCGGCTCGTGAGGTCTTGCTCCTGTTGAGGGATGACGCTGCGGCCGGGAGCGTTCTGACAGCATGTCGTTCCGCTGGTTCTGGCCCACCGCTTCGGCGCGACACGCTATGGCCGGACCGAGGTGTAAGATCGAGGTCGACCCGAGGAGGCTGCCCTGATGTTCTTCGTGTCTGGTGAACTGTTTTGCGCATCCTGGGGGAGAGTACTCTCGAATGTTCTGTTTGGCCGGCGGTGGGTCTCATGTTCTTGAAGGATATTTTTTATCTTAGGTCCATTCGTATCCGCTTCTTGGCCCCCGCGCGTCAACATCCCCAGCTTTCCCGAGCCTCCCGCCCCGCGGAGTGGTTCGACACACTATCGTGTCGCAAGGGCCGCCGCCACGACGCGCCAAGCAACAGTTCTGAGCGTGGAGGGGAATACCCTGAGATCCTGGCGTCGCGTTTTGTTGTCGCAGCGCGCGATGTTGCGTTGATGTCGCAGCTGGACCGATCCGTGAGGGTCCCGGCGATGCGCGCCAGGACCCTCACGGATCGGTCCAGCTTTTTTGGGGGGGGAATTGCCGCAGAACTGTGGGGTCCAGGGTCGAGCTCGAGTTGTGTTACGACGTTGGGCTTTCTCGTGACGTCGGATCTCAGGCTTGGTAGGGACCCATCACAGGCCTGTGGGAGTCCTGGGACGTCTTCCTGGGTTCTTGGAGGTTTTTACCTAACAGCGTTTGCTGATAGGTTTCTAGTAGGCTCAAAAGAGAGCATCATGATTCCTCAGGGGGATCTGGGCGGGTGCCGGGGAGGAGAACCGGGAACAGAGCCGGGCTCGTTTTAAGCCAACAGTCACACACACACACACACTTCGTGCTCTTCGACCTCCCAGAACTCCATTCCCGGGCCACATTTTGAATAACCGGAGCCAACAGTCACACACTTCGTGCTCTTCGACCTCCCAGAACTCCATTCCCGGGCCACATTTTGGATGCCCGGAGCCAACTGTAGGCCACTTCGTGCTCTTCGACTTCCCAGAACTCCATTCCCGGGCCACATTTTGGATGCCCGGAGCCAACTGTAGGCCACTTCGTGCTCTTCGAGTTCCCAGAACTCCATTCCTGGGCATGATTTTGAATGCCCGGAGCCAACTGTAGGCCACTTCGTGTTCTTCGAGTTCCCAGAACTCCATTCCTGGGCCACATTTTGAATGCTGAGGCAGGCTGATGCTGAGGCTGAGGCAGGCTGAGGCTGAGGCAGGCTGAGGCTGAGGCCGAGGCTGAAGGCAGACTGAGGCTGAGGCTGAAGCAGGCTGAGGCTGAGGCTGAGGCAGGCTGAGGCTGAGGCTGAGGCAGGCTGATGCTGAGGCAGGCTGAGGCTGAGGCTGAGGCTGATGCAGGCTGAGGCTGAGGCAGGCTGAGGCTGAGGCCGAGGCTGAAGGCAGACTGAGGCTGAGGCTGAAGCAGGCTGAGGCTGAGGCTGAGGCAGGCTGAGGCTGAGGCAGGCTGAGGCTGAGGCTGAGGCAGGCTGAGGCTGAGGCTGTGACTGTGACTGCCGTTGCCACTGCGACTGTCATCGCGAATGCGACTACGACTGCGAGAACAGCAGAATTCTACAACTGGATTCTCATCTGAATCTTAAGGGGAATGCTTCCAGATATGCTCCTACACATCGCTGTTAGGTTGCTTTGCCGGGATAATTTCTGCCCCAGGGTTGAGTCGGGCCTGACCCTCTACAGGAGGAGAATTTAGAAGTAACCAAACAGTAGTATGGGGACGATGATTTGTGTTTTTTTACCTAACAGCTTTTGCTGATAGGTTTCTAGTAGGGTCAAAAGAGAGCATCTGGACTCCTCAGGGGGGTCTGGGCGGGTGCCGGGGAGGAGAACCGGGAATCGTTTTTCGCCAACAGTCACACATTTCGTGCTCTTCGACCTCCCAGAACTCCATTCCCGGGCCACATTCTGGAGAACCGGGAACCGAGCCGGGCTCGCTTTTCGCCAACAGTCACACACTTCGTGCTCTTCGACCTCCCAGAACTCCATTCCCGGGCCACATTCTGAATGCCCGGAGCCAACTGTAGGCCACTTCGTGCTCTTCGATTTCCCAGAACTCCATTCCCGGGCCACATTTTGGATGCCCGGAGCCAACTGTAGGCCACTTCGTGCTCTTCGACTTCCCAGAACTCCATTCCCGGGCCACATTTTGGATGCCCGGAGCCAACTGGTTCCCAGAACTCCATTCCCGGGCCACATTTTGAATGCCCGGAGCCAACTGTAGGCCATTTCGTGTCTAGTTCCCAGAACTCCGTTCCTGGGCCACATTTTGAATGCTGAGGCAGGCTGATGCTGCGACCGAGGCAGGCTGAGGCTGATGGGCTGAGGCTGAGGAGGCTGAGGAGACTGAGGCTGAGGCTGAGGCTGAGGCTGAGGCTGAGGCTGAGGCTGAGGCTGAGGCTGAGGCTGAGGCTGAGGCAGGCTGAGGCTGAGGCTGAGGCAGGCTGAGCTGCTGGCTGAGGCTGAGGCTGATGCAGGCTGAGGCTGAGGCAGCCTGAGGCTGAGGCCGAGGCTGAAGGCAGACTGAGGCTGAGGCTGAAGCAGGCTGAGGCTGAGGCTGAGGCAGGCTGAGGCTGAGGCAGGCTGAGGCTGAGGCTGAGGCAGGCTGAGGTTGAGGCTGTGACTGCGACTGCCGTTGCCGCTGCGACTGTCATCGCGAATGCGACTACGACTGCGAGAACAGCAGAATTCTACAACTGGATTTTCATCTGAATCTTAAGGGGAATGCTTTCAGATATGCTTCTACACATCGCTGTTAGGTTGCTTTGCTGGGATAATTTGACATGTTTGCGTATTTGTTGGGTACTTTTACTTTTAATGTTTCGCCCACGATCCCTCTGTAGGGGGACACGCCAGACTTAAAAGCTCAGGGCAACGTGGGGGGGGGTAGGCTCAAGGGGAAAGACATCCATCCCCAACCGCCCTTTGATCGCCGCTGGGGGCCCGATGGCCCCTGCTAGAGCGTTCGGTTTCTCTGTCGGGGGCGCACCACCGGTCCATCGGCGATGTATCGCCGATTCTAGGTCGATGGTTCCCCCCCTGCGCTGGCCCCCTCCTGCCCAGTCGTTGCCCTTGCCCCTCAGTCCCCCTTCCAGGCAGGAGTAAGCTTATGTGGAGGAGGAGGAGGAGGAGGAGGGGGCAGGAAGGAGGAAGGAGGTGGACCCGCATCCCCTCGGATCTTGACGACCATGCCAGATCCCCTCCAATCGACCTGCGCGGACCATGCCAGATAAATTTGGTCAAATCCAGGTAGATCGATGTCAATGCAGATTCGAGATAAAGCCGCAGACCTCCAGGAACATCCACAGCAGTTCGTGGCCGCTCACGCGCGAATCGAAGGACAGCAGAAGTGGTACATTCTGCAATCCGGAGCGAAAGAAGCACGCACACGTGCATGAGCCCACTCTGGTTCCGAAAGTACGACTTGCGCGAATGCTCGTATCACCAGAGCGGTCTCGCGGTCCGGGGGGCCGTATCTGTGTACGTCATTGGGCACGTACGTTTTCTGTGGGCTCCCTGTCCGAGGACGACGCTTATTCGATTCCTGTCCTTGCGCTCCTTCGTGGCAGGCCGCCAGTGCCGCCTCGGGGCCGGTGCGCGGGGGCAGCGGGATCGCTGCGGGGTCTTACCAGCTTGCAGCAGATCCCTCTCCCTGCTCCGCGGCCAGCGGGGGGGGGAAGTGAGAGGGATAAGGCCTTTTCAGAATGGAGCGGTACTTTCAGAAGCCCCTCGCACCTTCTGAGAAGCTGTTTGTGCCTTGGGCGGGAGGCTGAGAAAGCTTCTCAGAAGGCCCGAGGCCTTCCGAGCCTTCTCAGAAGTGCCCCCCCATGCTCGCCGCCGACCTGTGATTGGAATCAACTAGTCCCGATTCGATCTTGATGATTAGACAAGTTTCTGAGGGCGCATCCCTCAGATTGTCATCGCCTTAGGCTTGCCGATCGTGTGGATAGGAATGAGTTCGAGGCTGGTCATCCGTGGGGTCCGCGTTGTCGGATGATGTCGGCGCCACACTTCCGTCGAGATTTGCCAGGCCGCTTCTCTGCTCGGAGCAGCGCGGGGCTGCTGAGGGGATGAGGGGGTCATCAGTGGATGACAGTCGAGGTTGATTTGTCGGTCGATCCTGCCAAATCAAGGTTGCCTTTGTGTCCTGTGTGGACGGGGCTGGTGTCCTCTCGCGTGTCCTCTCCAATCAACCCCGATGGTGTACATAGCCTGGCCTGGCTGATACACGGGCTGCACGTGCTTTGAGTGGCGTAGGGGTGGTACAGATCTGGGCTGAGCGGGCTCCGCCCGCTCGGCGGAATCATCGAGCCCCCCCCTCGTGCCACTCGGGGCATCTGCAACCCCCACTGTAAGCTAGGCCGGGCCAAATACAGCCACCCTCAGCATACACTTTAATTCCCTATCCCCCCCTCTGCGCTGATCCAAGCGGGCGACGCAATAAACAGGGTGTCGTCTGCGCCGGCATTTTTGCGTAAGCCCATCCAGTAAGGTCGCGCGTAAGCGCCCTCGTCTCCAATGCGGCGTGCCGCGCTGGCGGCCCGCATAACTTTATCCTCTTCGTCACCCAAGTGTAGGGTGTTGCTAGAAGCGCCCCTGGCCCAAGGTGCCCCCAAGATTTCCAAGGAGGCCCCCACGGCCTCCAGAGCTCTCCTCACGAGGCCCTGGGGCCCCCAGGGCTCCGAAATCAGACGAAAGGCTGCGGACACCTTGGGCCAGGGGCACCTCGAGCCGGCCCCCGGAAGAGGCCCCCGCCGACCCCGGGCCCAGGACCGTTGAACGCCAGCATCGGTGTCGGCGTGTGGCTCGGCGCCCGGCGCCGGCGGGGCCCACGCCAGGCCGAGATGGATAAGGTCCGGGAGGCGATGCACGCCGCGTTCGTGTCCGCCCAGGCCGACCTGAAACTCGGGCTGCAGGGGCTGAGCAAGGCGCGGTCGGACGGCGCGGGGGATTGCACATAACCAACGCCTGGAGGATCGAGTTTCGGAGACCTCGACAGGCGATGTATATGGATATGTTCGTGTTCACTGTGGCCCGTATTTGATATGTATGTACTCACACATGCATACATACATACATACGTACATACAGGCATACACACGAACATACATCAATAGGCATATATATATGTATATATATATATATGTATATATATATATATATGTATACACCTAAAGATATATACACATATACGTACGCATGTATATACATATGCATGCGTGTATATATGTGTATATGTATGCATATGTGTGTACATATATATATAGAGAGAGAGCGAGCTACACATGTACATATATATATATATATGTACATATACATACATATCTATATATATATATATATGTGTGTCCACCACACGTTGGGGTCCCAGCGCGTCGGTTCCACAGGCGGTGCATATGGATGTATCCCCGCCGCGGCGGGGCTTGGCGGCGCCAAGCAAGCATCACATTTGCCGCCACTTTGGTTTTACAAACCAAGTTTTGGGTGGGTTGGTGGGATACTTGCGCAAACAGTAGAGCGAACAATTGCGAGCAATCCTGATTTGTCTTTTCTGAGGACAGAATTTGATTCTCCCCCGGGGATGATTGGTTTCCGTTTTGTCGTGTCGCAAATTACGTGATTTTGGCCCATCGTCAGCTATAGATATGAACGCATACAACCCCAGGCGCGCCGGTATCCCCCCGTCCCCCTCATCCGAATGAAAAATTGTATGCGCGCGCATTCGTTTATCACATATTTCCTGTTTCCAAGAGTCCCTTGTACAATATTTGATGAAATGCTAACGCGGGCTCCGTCGCGCGCGCATGCCGAGATTCTTCAAATAACCTTTTCTTTCGTCCAGATTCCATAAAATCATCTGACCCAGACAGATGTCAAAACATTGTTTCGATTTTTTGTTTTACACCAAAAACAAACAAGCACATGCGCGCGCCGTTTCGAAATCAGCCGGAAAAGAAACATCGGTGTTCAACATTTCCATGCAATGCTTCCGAAGGGGCTTGGTGCGCGCGCGCGTCCAAGTCGTTCAAGCGCCATTGCGCGCGTGCTGCCGCGAGAGCCCCCTGCTACAAATAGGGCGAGGTGCACGCGCGCGCGTCGTTAAACGCGCATGCCGAAATATTTCAAAACCTTCGATGTCGTAAGGCTTTTAACTTTGAGTGTCGACCAGCCATGTAAAACCTCAGGGTTTCGCAGCGTCAGTTTTCAAACAACTTCGCCCGCGCCCTTGCGAATTCTTTAGGACGTATTCTGAATGCCAGCATTTCATGGAATTATGCTAGGCGGGTCTCTCGCGCCGCATGCTCAAATCATTCGAGCGCCCCTGCGCGCGCGCTGGGGGGTGGGTGGGCGGGGTGTGGGGGGGCGCGATCCGTGTCAGATAATACCATGCGGGTCATTCTCGCACGTCGGCCGCGCGCGCATGTCGAACTCTTTTCCGAATACTTCATCGCCGACGCGGGGGCGCCGTCATCGTCTTCGGCGCGAGCAGCATCGGTGCCGTCATTGGCTGTGCCGTCGCCGCTGTCATCGTTGCCTCCAGCGCCGATAGTATCATCATCGTGTCTACCGTCGTTGACGTTGCCATGATACCGCGCCCGCCCAAGTCGCCGACTCGCACTGAAGTGCTCGCTGGGGCGCGCCCAGCGGGCAGCGCCACCCCGGCCGCGTCGGCCGCGCCGAATGAGCTGGCTGCCGCTCGCGCGCGCATGCGCGGGCTGGCGCGGCCGAAAAGATGCACCAAGCACTCGCCGCGTGGGTTTTGCACGCCAAGTTGCGGGCGGGCGGCGGAGGCGATTGCGCGAGCAGTGGAGTTGACAGCTCACTGCGAACATAATTAGTGGTCCATTTTATAGACCCTACCCCCATGGATTATCGGTACCCTCTTCGCATTGCAATTGACGTATGAGGCCGCCCCACCATCCATCCTTGGTGCGAATCCATCGCATCCCGGCCCAGCTGGTATTTGCCCCCCCATCGCCATCCCGTGTAAGAAAATATGCGCGCGCATTCGTTTATCCGAATTCATCAGATTCCAAGAATCCACCGCAACAGAAACAACGAACGGCGCGCGCGCGTCGTCGCCTGCGCCGAAATCCTTCAACGCAGTTCCAGTTTCGCAAGGATTCAAAAATCGAGCCCCCAAAACAATACAAGTGGCACGTGTGTGCCCAGGCTCATACAACAATGCTGAAAGGGCGTTTGAAACAGGAAAACACCATGACTGCTGTATCGGATATGGAGAAGGGGAAGCTGGCGCGGCGCCGCCAGGGCGTGGCTAAGGTAAGGGGGAGAGGCAGGAGGTGAACGCAGAAGAATCTAACATCGAGGTCGCACTCGAGCGCAAGTGGGGTTGCCACACCTTGCGATGTGTGTACCAGGCCCCGCAAGAAACCCCAGGAGGCCCGACTTGGATACCGGAAGAGGCTCCAGGAGGCCCCGGGATTGTGAGTGTTGTGTGTGTGTGATGTGTGCTCTGTGTTGTGCGTGTTTTCTGTGCGTTGTAGGTGTTGTGCGTGTGTGTGTGTGTGTGTGTGTGTGTTATGTTTGTCTAGCGTGTGATGTGTTGGGTGTGATTTGTATCTTTGTGTGCGCATGTAGTTCTGAGGCCCCAGGAGGTCCCAGGCGGCCTCAGGAGGCCCCAGAAGACCCCAGGAGGTTCCAGGAGGCCCCACGAGGCTCCAGGAGGCCGCAGGAGGCCCCAAGAGGTTCCAGGAGACCCCCAGGAGGCTCCGAGGCGGGGTCTGGTGTACCAGAAAGTACAGAGAGCCCCAGGAGGCCCCAGGAGGTTTCAGAAGGCTCCCAAGAGGTTCCGAGGCGGGGTCTGGGGTACCAGAAGGTACGTCGGGGCTCGACTTTGGGAGGATGTTTCAGGCGAGACTGCCATTCTCTGAGAATCGGGGTCAACATCGTTGAAATGACCACGTGCTTTTGAATGTGTTATGTTAGAATGTTGAAATTCCCATGTGCTTTTTTGGACCCTGACGTCACGATCTGCCTGAGGGGCGCCACCGATTTTCAGAAGTTGGAGGATGTCCCCAACGAAACAGCCAGAAACATCGCGAACGCGGCGCCCCGCGTGCGCATCAATCGCCTCTGAGCTCTTCTCCCTCGGAGAGGTGCGTATGAGTATATATATATATATATATATATATATATGAGTGCTATATATATATAGATAGAAATGTGCACACATGGTTTCGCAACTGTGATTTTTGCATATTCTTACGGGAGCCATCGGCTTTTCAATGTTTAGATAAAATGATAGCGAACGGGCTTCACGCGCGCATCGAAAGCGTTCGGGCGCCCTGGCGCGCGTGCCGCCGCGCGAATCCGATACAACAAAGAGGGCGAAGCGCACGCGTGCGCGCCGTTGCGCGCATGCCGACATCCGCTAGCAAAAACTGTCGTTTGCGCTGCGACGTCACAACCGAGTGCCCATGCAAGATGCAACAACACACGTTTTCGCACCGTCAGTTGTCAAAACCTCGCGCGCTCCAGGGGGGGCGCGATGCGCGCCGAAGAGTTCCTCGCGGGACACTGTCGCGCGCGGTCGGGCTCTTTTCAAAACCTCCATCGCCGACGCGAGGACGCCTTCATCGTCGTTGGCGTGATCATCGTCGGCGCCCGCGCTGGCCGCACCTTCGTCGTTGTCAACATCGCCACCAGCATCGCTACTATCATCGTCGTGCCTACCTTTGTCGACTATATCATGATACTGCGCCCGCTCAAGTCGCCGACTCGCGTGAAGTGCCCGCTGGGATGCGCTCGGCGGTCAGCGCCGCCGCGGCCTCGTCGGTCGCGCCAGACGAGCTGGCCGCCTCGCGCGCGTGCTCGGTCTGGCGCGGTCACGTAGGTGCGCCAGGCAACGCCAAGTACGTCTCGCAATCCTTGCCGCGTGGGTTTGCGAGTCAGGTTGCGGGTGGGTGGGTAGGATGTTTGCAAGAGCATGGGATGTGTCAGTGCGTTTGTTAACTCATGTGCGCCGCGTAGATGGCACCTCGCAGGGGGCACCACACATGGTTGCACCATGTCGAGAACACCGCATACGTTGCACCCGGTGGGATGCGCCGCGTGGGTTGCGCCGCGTAGATGTCTTTTAAGGATGATGCCCCCCTGGGTTATCCGCCCCCCTTCTCGTGGCACAACGTGCACGTAATTGTGCTCATTCGACCATCCTTGGTATGAGTTCGCGCGAGTTCGCACCATTCCAGGGGGGCCGAACCCCCCCCCCCCCCCCGCATCTCCTGCAAAAGTAAAACGCGCGCGCGTTTATCAATCATCATCAGTTTCTTTTGTTTTTTATTATCCCTCGCAAAAGTCGTCGCTGTGCGCGCGCGTCGTTGCGCGCGCGCCGAAATCCTCCGAGAACTTGCGGTGTCGCCAGGGTTTCAACGCCGACTGTCCAAGAAACAAATGAAAGCACGTGTATGCGCAAGAAAGATGTTCAAAACAAGTTCGCGCTCGCGCACTTGTGGATTATTTCAGGAAACTGTTCGGTTTCTTTACGTTCCAATGGAATGCCACCAAACGGGCTTCGCTCGCGCGCGTGCCAGAATCGTTCGAACGCCCTTGCGCGCATGCTTTCGCAAGAATCAGGTTTTCAAGGATAATCAGTGAAGCAATTTCGGTGTCGCAGAGTATACAAAGAGGAGTGTCCAAAAACGCATGGACTCACGTGGCTTCGCATCGTCGATTTTCAAAAGTTTGCGCCCGCATTCTCGCGAATTCTTGAGAAGCCATAGGTTTTTCATTGACATCTGCCAAACGGGCCGCCCGCACCGCATGCCGAAATCATTCGAACGCCCATGCGCGCGTCCGGAGGGGTGGGGGGGGCGATCCATGTCCAATCGTGCCATGCGGCTACTCTCGCGCGTCGGCCGCGCGCGCGTGTCGAACCCCTTTCAAAACCGCCATCGCCGACGCGAAG